TCTATTCAAAAGAAATAATGTGAGCTAATAAAGAGGGAATAGTGGACACTTGTTTGCCAACCCAACACCTACTCCTCTCTTCCACCTTTCCAATAGAATACCAATTTTATTCACGTTTCCACTCTCATCCTCAGCTCCAAGGGTGGATCCTGATTAGTGTAAGCTGTTATTGGTCTTGGTAGAACTACCCAGACTGAAGGAAAAGACATAGTCCAGGAACAGATCACTTTCTCCTTGTGAACTGAATTGATTACCACTGATTTCAAGGAGGAAATCAGCCTTTGGATATCAACTTTGTAAACAGCAAGGCAGAGAAAGAGAAAGAAACTGGATTTATGATGAAGTCATTGATTTGCTGAATCAAGTAATTCTGGAATCTGTCTACTATTCTGCATTTTCTATTATGTAACCTAACATAGGTTTTTTTAAGCAAATTTGAATCAGGCTATACTATATCAAATATATGTAGCCAAAAGCATCTTAAGTAATATGGAAGGAAATCTAATCATTTGGAATTATCTTCTTAACAAACAGTTCAAATGCTACGTGTTAACACCTTAATTAACAATTAGAATGGTTGACAATTATATCTTGATCATAAAAATAAGTTTATCCCATCTGCCACATTGTCTTAATAGTCACCAAAAAAAGATCAGTCAATATGGATGCATCTTTCTTAAAGATTTTTTAAAAAGGAAAAAAAAAAGTTATACATACTTATAAGTTATATTTTTCATGTAAACAAATTCAAAAAAAGGCAAAGACAATCTTAGAGTCCCTTCTAGGGCTTGCATGTGATTGAAAACAACTTAATAATCAGATACGGTTTATAAGAAAATTGAGGCAACTCATGTACATAACAGTTTGAAAACTTTCCTGTTTGCACTGTGTGTGCACATATAAACACACAATCTCTTTTATCTGTGGAAACAACTAAGATAATTCACATAAAAGAAAAACACTTTTACTTTATTAAAGTGATTCATCAAAGGATATGCCATGGTTCTTAACAACACAGGAATCATAACCCAAGGGGTTTTTTTTATTTGATTGTTATGTAAAAATATATCTGGTTTGTGAAATATAAGTCTCATTAGTCATTTATAGTAATACACAAATATTGCCAGGCAAATATTAAAAGACTAAAGTTTATTGTTGCCAAGTTGCTGTGGCTAAGCATTAATAAAAGAAACAATTAAACCAAGAAAAATATGTGAACTTCTGCAGTCATAGCTCAAGGATATGGAAGGCAAAAACAAAAGAGGACACATTCTAAGGCCACCCTTGAATTCTTAATGTCCAACTCTAGCAGAATGAACCAAAAACGTCAATTTAGCAAAACAGGTGTGTGACTTCCTATGTCTCACACACAACAGCAGTTTGGAAGCACAATCAAATCTAAAAATCTATTACAGCAGGCAGTGCAAATCTGCACTATTAAAGGGTAAAGATGAACATATAAATTGTTGTATCATGAGGGAAGATAAATGAGGAACGGAAATCCAATGCAGTAAAGGAAACTGGTTAGCAAGTGGTTAAACAGTTTTCAAACTGCTCAGTGTTACAACATTATTGTTGGACCCAAACCTCGGCATCCTATCAGGGTACGAACTGTTAATGCAGCCAGACTCCTAGATACTGCTTAGTAAATTAATCTCCAAACTGTCAATCTTATTAGATATATACTTCTCTTAACTTAAAACAGAAACAGTTGAAATAACAGCTATGCCACTATTACTTTTGTCCTAAAGGCATGGATTCTTAAAACCTCTAGTTAATGAAGGACTAAATTTTAAGAGTTGGAAGGAATATTAGGAAGCCACTTCTCATCCAAACTCCATCTCAAGCTAGGAGACTCTAATGAATGCATTTAGCAAAGCTTAATTGAGAGTTTTCTATATTCAAGACTCAATGTTGATTGCTGGGGGTGACACAAATATGTCTAAAACCTGATATCTTCCCTCAAGGAATCTGTACATCACCCCAAAGAATTATAGGCTGTGAAACAGAATACTGTACCATAAAAATAAAATCCTAAGAACCAAGAGGAGTTTTTCATCAAGATAAAAGGTTTTAGGGCATGCTTTAGTGATGTTTGAGATAAGCCTGGAACAGGGGGTCGAATCTGGACATTTGGCAATGGAAAGGAAGGACATTCCAGATAGTGAGAATAAAATAAACTCTGATGCCCTATACAAACAGACCTCATTTCCAACTACTCTCCCTTACTAGTCTGCTCTTGCCATGCCAGTTTTCTTGGTGTTCTTCAAACAGGGCAGGTTCCTCAAACAGACATTCCCTCCTCAGAGCCTTTGTATCTGCTGCTCCCTCTGCCTGGAATGATCTTCCCCCAGATATCTGCAAGCCTGGCTTTCTTACCTCCTTCAAGTCTTTGCTCAAATGTCACCTTCACAGTGAGAACTTACCTGACTATCCTATTTTAAATTGTCACCTTCACACTCTCCATCATCCTTCCCTTTTTATTAAATTCTCCACAGCACTTGTTACTATTGGGTATGGTATATATTCTACTTCTTATTAGCTTTGTCTATTCCCCTGCCAAAAGAGAAGTTACCTGTTTGTTCATTTTTAGATTTTAAACACTGCCTGCACATGGTAGACATGAAATCAGTTTTTGTTGACAAACTGACTGATGGAATAAATGAATGAAAAAGATTTCTTCCCTCAAATAGGTTATGATCTGGTGGAGGAAGCAAACAGATAAATAAATAATCTTAAATTATTCCTGAATGACAAAAACAAATACAGTTAGCAAAACCCAATTTATAAAAGACTAATACACAGAAACAGCTCCTGGCATCCCCACTTCTACACGTCCAGTGACCACCAGATTCTTCTTTTTACACCTCCCAGCTCCCTGTCCCCAGTAACACTGCCACTTATGCAAAGGCCAAAAATGACACTAGAGCTACCACTGCTGCCAAAACTGCCTCTTCCCACATTAACCTTCACTGTTACCTACTGAGTAAAAGACATTTCTGTTCCTACTGTTGGACAAGAAAAAGACGTATTCCTGGATTTCCAAATTAAATACATTTTTCTGTAGATAGTTATATTCTACACTACAGAAGTGGTTACAATGATATTATGGATTACACAAGAAACCTACTATTTTGAATACTGCTTAATTATTAAGTGCAATATGTAGATATGGAAAAACACATTTTTGAATTCTGTTTTACTACTGGAACATACCTTTTCTACACTGCAAGCGAATGGCACAGGCTTTTGTTAAGAGAAAGATTCCTTCCATACAGGCTAGGACTATATTTTAGGCAAATGGCTAACAATGTAGAGTTAAGGGCATTTTTTGCACTCAGAAGGATCAACTAGAATTCTATCCTGGATTTAAAAATGATGTAGAATTCATAAATAGAGCATTAGTATTTAAATTATACTATACTAAAACCAAACAGGAATAGTAGAAAATATTCTTTATCGCCAGCAAAAGCAAAACCACTTTTTCGAAAAGGAAATGAGGACTAAGCTCAAGATTTCTCACTTCAACTAACACCTTCACAGACTGCATTATCATTTTAGGCAAAGTGACATTTTCACATTTAATTTTTAATGGCAGGAATGATTTCCATCTGGGATTTATCTGCATAAAAGTGTTAGCCTTGGCAAAATTTCAACATTTAATTGAAAGGTCATTTCTGGCTCTAAGCAAAATGCCCCACTACTACACAATAGGTATATCTCTACATTAATCCTACCATTGAGAGCTCGATTTTATGTGTTTTACCCGGTGATGAATTTTGCCCTCAGATAGGCACATCTGTCTATAACCCTCTTTCAATCATTAATAAATTATTTATCTTTACTACCTTAAAACTTCCTGCATTTTCCAAGAATATTTACAGTACTAAAAGAGTTTTACAAATATTACTATTCTTCATAAGCAGAAGAACCACTACAAATTAGGGCAAATTCCCTGACGTAGAAAAATGCCAACCCAGCAGCTGAAATGAAAACTTTCAGGTATAGAACCACAGTTCTAATGGGTCAACTACAAATGTCGCCAGTTACGGCCGTTGTAAATAATTTACAGCCACTAGGGCAAAAGCCCGATAAAAATGTCAGGTCCTCACTTAGCTTTTTCTTTAATAAGGAGACACCTGCACGTCACACTTGGCAGTCGACCATCTATCGCAACACACAGGAGACACTACGGAGCGTGCAGTTATCAAAACGCAGGAAGCCAAAGTTCCTGCGCGATGGGAGGACTACGGTGAAAAACACTAGCCCATCCGTCCCTAGGAGAAGAGAAAGAAGTCCACGAGGAGAGGCTGGGAGTCAGGGAGGTGGGGCTGCGAGACCCGCGCGAGCGCGCTGTCCTCAGCGGCTCACAGAAGCCTCGGGCGGCAGGAAGGCAAGGGCGCCGGTGGGCTCGCGGGCACAGGTGGGCTGCAGCTGCCCGACCGGCCAGGACCCCGCACCGGGAAGTCTCCAGGGCCTCGCCCGTGCAGCTGGGAAACCACCCAGCCCACAGACAGGCGGAGGAGGCGCCCCGGCAGAGCCACGTCGGAGGATAGGAGCGCTGCGGGAGGTGGGCACCTTCCCACACCCACCGCGAGGCTGACAGCCCGGGGCGCGAGAAGGGCCGCGGCGCGCCTGAAAGGGTCGCCTTCAGGGCGCTGCCTGCTGCCAACGACTCCCCTCGCCCAGATCGGCAGCGGCGGGATACTCACGTAGGGCTGGTAGAACTTGGAGAGCCGCGGCTTCCCGTGGTTGTTGAAGATGAGGATGGCCTTGATCATGGCTGAGCCGAGCCGACAGGGTGGGCGCTAGGGTCCAGGGCGGGGGCGGGCGCGCGAGCCTCGCCTCGGGATCTCGCCAGCGATCCTTCCCCACCCGCCCCCTCCCGCACGCGCGCGCGCGCGCTCCCGAGCCGCGGGGCGGGGCCTGGGAGGGGCGGGGCCTGGGCGGGGTCGGCGCGGAGGGAAGCGGAAACATCCCCGGGCTGGAGTTCCCTTGCCGGAGGGGCGCCTGCGCACTCGGTTGTCGTGCGGGGAGGATGCTCAAAGGCTCTTTCCGGAGGCTTGTTGCTGAGGGAAAACGGTAGTTGCGGCATTAACGGTCAGGGGTCTGCGACAGGTTCACACAGAGGACCAGCCAGCAACCCCAACTGTCGCCTGTGGGTTGCGTCCCCCTACTCCAGCGCCTCCTTAGCGACGCTCCCTGGCGCCAAGCCCGCCCGCCGCACGCTCTGAGCGCCGCCCACCACTTCCGCCCTCGGCTCCCACCGAGCAAGATGGCTGAGGAGCCGGAGTCCGCTCTGCAGCTCCCACCCTCAACTGCGGCTGACGGCGAAGGACCTACGGAGGTCTCCCCTGAAACAGCCACTCCGGAGCCCCCTTCTTCCGCTGCAGTCTCCCCGGGAACAGAGGAACCTGCCGGCGACACCAAGAAAAAAAGTAATTTTGAGAGAGCAGTTTCCTTCTGGGCAGAGGCAGGAGGTTTAGATTGCGTCCGATTAGGGATGGCGGCCAGTATAAAGAAGCAAAGTTTAGAGAAGGGCCAGTCCCAGACCTGGTTTTTGACCAGTCAGAAGAGAGGAAGTGTACTATTCGGCTTTCAAGACCTTTGATTTGAAAGCCTCTAAAGAAAGCTATCCCTGGACGCACCTTCTCTGTGGGGTGCCCAGTACTTGACTGTCACAGCAGTTATCACCCTGTACTGTGATCTTCCTTTGAGTTGGCCAGACGGCGAGCTCTTTGAAGGTGGGGGTTGAGTGGGATCTTGGTAGCTCCAGGTACTTAACGTGCGACCTAATTATTTGAATGATGATTTAAGGTGATAGGAATGGTCGGTGACAAGTGTGGATTAGAGTCCACGCCTTCCGACCGGTTGGCTGTTTTTTATGCCAATTGCGTGGGAATTCACTCCTTGAACCAAAAAACTGGAGTTTTACCCAGTACGAAGAACACTAAGGGAAAACTAAAGGTATAGGCGTCGCCTTTTGTTTTTTAAACACCATTTTGGAACCTTTGTAAGCGAATCATTTTCATTGCTTGAACTAGCTGTCCTCACCTCTTGATTGCTTGAGAAGTAGTTCGCCGTTATACAGAAATTCCTAAATGGAGCACTGTATGTAGAGTTGCCCATGAGAAAAGCAGCAGATCAACACCTCTGATTCCAAGAGGTTGACCCTGGACCTTAGACAGGTTTTCTCAGTCCAGAGTCTTAAAGTGTAGAGATGGCATGTTTTCTGGTCAGTGATCTCACAGCCTTTCATCGAACTTCAGTTTCTGCTGCTGTGGAGGATAATTGTCTCCCCTAGCACTGTCTCCCTTTTAAATCAGACTGCCTCTACATTTGGGGGAAATCTATTGTGTCGTTTCCATGTGGTGCAGTAGTAGAGAAACAGAAACGTGTGGTTATTTCTATAGGTAACCATTAGAATCTTAAAGAATCCCACGAGTTTTACAGATTCTTGTTCCCTTTTTTCTGTCCAATTTACTATAAGCAGGAACAGACTTTCAAAGGGTTTGTTTTAAACTCTGATAGTCTTAGTAAAAAGCTTACTTGACCCTGAAGATAACTGTGTAAAACAGAGGCTAAAAAACAATGGCCCAGAGCCCAGATATGGCCTGAGGTTATATGGCATGTTTTCTTTGGTCTGCATGGTATATATCTTTAAACCATCATTTAAAAATCAGATTTTCATTTTCTGGCTCCTGTGAGCATTTGAGTTTGCCTCTCTGATTTAGAATTTAGTTTCTAGCTATTGAATTTCTATCTTGAAATTGTCGTCCTTTTTTGAGGACCTCTGATGAAAGAAGCTTAAATATTTCCTATACCCCGCCTTTGGTTTAATCTACAGAAGAAGAAAGATTATGGAAGCAGACCAAGGTTGTTGGTCTTGTTGGCACATTAGGATCACCTAGGGGAGCTTTTGCACATATCGGTGCCAAGTCCCTACTTCCAGAAGATTCTGATTTAATTGATGTGGACACCTGTATTCTTGTAAATGTTCCCCCAGTTGAGTCTAAAGTAGCTAGGGTTGAGAACTACAAGCAAATCACCTTTAGAATTAAAGGGAAAAAAAAGAGTGCAGTTATAATTACAGAAAATACGTTTCCTTCTCCAGCTTCTTGCCCTCTCTCTCTTCTTCAGTAGTACAACTCAGTATTTTCTGGTTCACTTTCTTGAAATGCCCAATTGCAGTTGAGTTATTGATAGCCCCAGGAGATTGAAGGAGCAGAGAAGGGCAAGTATAGAAGGTGAATTAACCAAAATCTTAGTTATCTCCCAATTCATCTCTATTCCCTAGATAACAGAAGCTAGACTTATTAAGTGGAGGAAGGAAAATAAACTAAAGCAGGAAGATAAACTGTGCATCATATGTTCTAGGTGCCTCATTCGAGGGGTAAACTTGAATAAATTGGTCTCAGTGACCCCATTGGGTCCCAGTTTTTAGTACCAAAGAATGGGACAAGAAGGATGTAATAGAATAGAGTTAACTTGAGGGGGCAGCAGAACACTATTTTGCTTTCATTGTTGCTTTTGATTGTAGATGTCTTTTTTTTTTTTTTTTTTTTTTTTTAGCAAAGGAACTTCAGGAGACAGATTCATAGTCTTTGCATTTGCATCTTTGTATTTTGGATTATTGAAACCTTTGATTTCTCTATCTGAAAACTTTTTGGCCCCTAATTTTTGTATTTTCTTTTTAATTATTTTTATTGTCTTCCTTCATTGAAAAGTGTATTGTAGAAAACTTGGTGGTTACAAAAAGCACAAGTAAAACCAAATAATGATTGCCTATAATGTCACTACTAAGAAATAGCATTTTGGTGCATATGCCACATTTATGTGAATACGTGCTTGTGATGATTTTAATGAAATTGAGATCATATACATGCTGTTTTATATTGAGTACATTTTGATAACTTTTTCATACTATTACATATGCTTTTATGTTTCTTTAAAGGCAGCTTAATCTTAATATTCAGTAAGTATGAGTTATGAGCTGATACTGTTCTAAACTCTCTACATGTGTTAATTCATTTAATCCTCATAACAACTCTGTGAGGTAGGCGCTATTATCCCCATTTTGCAAATGGAGAAACTGATACAGAGAGATTAAAGAGCTTATTCAGGTGTATATACCTAACAAGTGGCAAAGCCAGGGTTTTGAACCCAGGGAGTTTAGAGTGTGGATTCTTTACTACATTATGTAAATTCTATCATAGAGTATAATATTCTTTATTTAACCAATCCCGTCTAAATATCTTTGTTGGATATTTAGGTTTACCAGTTTTTTTCTATAAATGTTTCAGTGAAGGTGAAATCCTGCAAGTGAATCTTTTCACATCTCATATTTTCTTAGATTCCTAAGACGACTCTTCGAGTCAAATATATCTTTAAGTATTTGGTAATGTATTACCATATTGCTTTCCAGAAAGGGTATACCATTTTGTATTCACAATAGTAGTATCATCTACACTATTATTCTGATCTTTACTAGTTTGGTAGATGAAAAAGGCCATGACTTTATTTTTTATGTTTTTCATACCTTAATTGACCATTTATATTTCTTCTCTTTGGAATCGCCTGTTATCTTAAAATGCATTTTAAAGATTTGTTTCATGGGGAGACCTTGTGGGACTTTAGGAGCAAGGAAAAAAACCCACAAAAATATGATGAAAAAGAATCTTACTAACATTTTTACATCTTGGGTATACCTCCAGTATCATAAATACACAAACTGTAGGTAGATTAAAGGTTTAAGTTTTCTAAAGTCTTTTATATCACATTTTCTTTAGATGTTTTAGGGTAATTGTCACTAATTTTTTCTTTTACAGTTGACATTCTGCTAAAGGCTGTGGGAGACACCCCTATAATGAAAACAAAGAAGTGGGCTGTAGAGCGAACTCGAACCATCCAAGGACTCATTGACTTCATCAAAAAGTTCTTAAAACTTGTGGCCTCAGAACAGTTGGTATGAAACCAATGGTGATCATTTCCCTACAAAAATTCACAGTAGTTCCTAGGCAACAATGAATAACTGTTATATATAAAAATGCATATAGAGCCACATATGCTACTTCAGTAATGTCTTTTTATTTTTTATGTTGGTGGAATTTCTGTGCTTTATTGAGGGATTCTCTGGGGAACCCTGAAATGGAATGAATTTTAGATTTGCTGTTACAATGTGAACCAATTTTATTTTACTTACTGTATTGGTTGTTCTCTTCAAAAAGTGACTGAGTGCCCATGCAGAAAGATCTATCATAGAACATTAGTATAGAAAGTTTTGGAGTTTTTTAACTTGTTTCAATGTCAGTGCTACTTCCTTCCTATTCTTCTTGAGGTAAGCAAGATATCTTTACCATATGTTGTGGAAGAACTAAGAGATACACTTATTTCATATTATGGTACATGTTAAGCACTTCTTGGTGGCATTTGTAAGGATTCATGTTTTAAATGCCACTGGTTTTTAACTTGGTATTCGACTATAGAAATTTAAATGGCTACATGTGTTTGGCATTTTGTCACATGTTATATTAATATATTAGACGCCTTTATCTGCAGATCACAATCTTGGTCAGTACTAATACAGATAGCATATGAGTGGATAGGTAGTTGAAAAATCACTAAGTATTTTTAAAATACAATTAAGAATTTGTATGTATAAGTATTGGAGAGGGATTTAGTTGCATGTGAACACAGGAGTGAGAACAGGTAAGAGGAATGAACTGATTATTAAAGTGAGACGTTTTGGAATCTGTTTCTCTTTCTCAGTGAAGAGGAAGAACTACTCTGATCTAAGAGTTTGGCTGTAAGGGGCTCTCACAAAAGGGACATGGGTGCAAAAATAAGGGCAAGATAGGTTATTCACTAGAAGTTATTTGAGGCAAGAATAGCATAGAAGCATGGATTCCTCCAAAGGATGTTGTCTGGGAAAAGTGTTGGAAATATTTGAGTTTTATAGGTGAACATCTCCCTTTTTGATCAGAGTGAAAAAATCATCTGTTTTATAATAAGAGTGCCATATAGAATTTAATTCACTATGAGAGATGGGCAAGATTGTAGTGTCATCCACTATAATACATATGTTAGCTAAAACCTCGGGAGCAAAAGACCTTGCCTAGAGTTCACATCTAAATGGGAAAGTTAGGGGAATGATGACATGCCTCAGAGAAATGAGTAGAGGCTATATCCCTACTAAGGGTGCAACATGAAGAGTTGGAGAGGTAGGAAACCAGAAGACTACCAAGTAATTAAGGCATTAGTTTTAGAAATTTATAGATAGAAGAAAAGATGAAATGATGCTATGTTCTATGTTAATGTTAGAGTCTTGACGTTTCGTATTGCCTATATCCAGCAATCTGAAAGGACTTGATTGATAGCAACATGTATTAGATTGAACCATGTAAAATTGCCATCAGTCAACCATTTTAACTTATAAAAGCAGCAATTTCATATAGTTCAACCTTAAACCTTCATAGTGAATCTGATTATCCTTTCCCATTTAAGCAATAGGTAACATAAACAAGTAGAATCATTTTGTCACGTTCCTAGATTAAATTAGAACTCATCTTCTGGCTTTCATCTAGCTGTACCCACATTATTTTAGCCAAATGGATGTTAAAGAAAACAATGATGCTGAGGATTCTGGGAAGATAGCAGTAGTGTTAGAAGGCGTAGTTGAATTTCCAAATTCCCACAAAAACATAGTCAACTAGATAGCAAAACCAAAAACCCGTGATCAGTATTTATAACAAAACTAGATGATAAAGTATCCTCATGAACCCTAAAATGCAAATTGGTGGGGACAGACCATCAATAGCCACAGGATCTGCATGATATCAGCAAATGTGCTGAAAGAAGCAAACAAGATTGGCATCTGACAGCTCTGAGGAAAGGAGAACCTGGAAATAGCTAACAGGTATTCACTGGAAACTGCAGTAGGCCAATTTAAGAATAGTTGAGATTGAGAGGGTTTTATTCTGTCCAGTAGCGAGTGATTACAGTATATCTGCACTAAGGAGGACTGAAGGGGCTGGAGCAGTCTGCCCCTGAAAGCTCTCAAAACAGATTCAGTAAGGCTCTCTTCCAGGACAAGATCCCACACTGAGGAGGGACTTCTGGAAGTGAAACAAAATTGATGAGGGTAGGAATATGAGAGGAAGGAAAGAAAAGGACTGGACCAAAGTGGAGGGGAACAGAACCTGGAGAGCTCAGAAAGCAGGCCTGCATATTGTTGAACACTATACCAAAAACAACAAAAGAGGGAGCTCTATGGAGTTAAAAGAACTGCACTAACCCACTTGATTCTAAAAGTTGAAGAAAACTAATTTCATATAAAAACAAGTAACAGAGGAGCTGGCCCAGTGGCGTAGCAGTTAAGTTTGCATGCTCCACTTTGGCAGCCCAGGGTTCACAGGGTCGGATCCTGGGTGTGGACCCATGCACTGCTTGTCAAGCCATGCTGTGGCAGCATCTCATATAAAGTAGAGGAAGATGGGCACAGATGTTAGCCCAGGTCCAGTCTTCCTCAATAAAAAGAGGAGGATTGGCAACAGGTGTTGGCTCAGGGCTAATCTCCCTCACACACACACACACACACAAAAAATCAAGCAACAGAGAAGTATCAAGGTCGAATCCCATAGAATGTCATAAGAAAAAAGAAAGAGAACAAGATATAACATCCCTAAAGACAATAAAAACATGTCAGAAAAATGTACGTATAAGACATGTCAATAACTGTAACTTATTATTTCAAAACAAGCTAAAAGACACGAAGAAAATGATACAAGACATGAAAGAACAATATAAATCAACATTAGTATAAAACTCAAATGAAGTAACAGAGCTCAGGAAAAGAATTACAAATAAAAGTTATTTCAGAAATGGAGACTTACCTAGAAGTAACATAAGAGCAAATAAATAACAGATAATGCCTTAAGAAAAATAGAAGGCAAAAAAATTCTGTTTTAATCAAAGGGAAATGAAAGGTAAAAAAGATTGGAGAGAAAGTGACAAATACTGAGTATGAACAAAGAAGAAGAAAACCAAAGCAAAGGAACAAAACAAATACTTAAAAACTATAATTCAAGGGAAATTTCTTAAAAAAAGATTTGAAACTACATATTTAAATAAGTACCTGAGAATACCAACCCAGAATAACGAGCACCAAAACACATCCTTTGAGGGACTGACCCTGTGGTGTGGTGGTTGAGTTTGCACGCTCCACTTCAGCAGCCCAGTTTCGCGGTTCGGATCCCAGGTGCAGACATACACCACTCATCAGCCATGCTGTGGTGGCGACCCACATATGAAATAGAGGAAGACTGGCACAGATGTTAGCTCTGGGCGAATCTTTCTCAAGCAAAACGAGGAAGACTGGCAACAGATGTCAGCTCAGGCCGAATCTTGCTCAGTAAAAAAAAAAATCCTTTGGACATCTAGGGGGGAAAAGGAAGACATGACTTAGAAAGAAAAGTAGGTTATCATCAAACTTTGACAAGAAAGATACAAGGAAAGTGTGAGATAAGGATTTTACGTGCAAGAAAACTGACTATTTTTTTTCCTGGGCCGCCGAAGCAGAGCAGGCTGAACTTAACTGCTAGGCCACGGGGCCAGCCCCCAAAACTGGCTTTTTAATCAGGGCACAAACTATTAGCAATGTGCAAGAACACAGGGAATACTGTTCCCATGAACTCTTCCTGAGGAATCTACTAGAGAAAGCTTTGTAACAACCAAAATAACTAAAGAGACATCAACATAAAGACTGGTGGTTTAAAAACAAAATCATTATTCTTTAAAACTAAAATAATTTTATCTTCCTAAGTTCTAGCATTTAGCAGAAGATTGCATTTTGAAAATTTTACTTCCATGGAACATCCGTTTAAACTAGCTGAATTGCTCTTTTTTATTAAAGTCACTTTCAGTTTCTAATTCCTGTTACAAAATCACATTGAGTTCCTGTAGTTCCCTACTACATCTACTCTTCTGTCCTCTACTCTCACACCATCTTACTTTTGTTCCTTTTGCCTACAAAATTCTGATTGCTACTCTCTTCACCTAGTTAAATCCTGTTTATTCCTCAGGTATCTCTTCCAGGAAGCCTTCCCTGAGCTTTTTGCTAGGCTATACATGTGTCTGTGTACTGCACACTTTGTCAGAAGCTCTTTTCCCATCTATAGTCTTTTCTCTTCATATGTGTTGGGCTCTCCAATAGATCACAAAGTCAGTGAGGGGAGAGGTCATATTAATCTTCATAGTTCCACACCTTGAACAGTTCCTAGCACATAATAGACGCTCAGAGAATGTTTGCTAAAATAAACTGAATTGTCACCAAGAGCCCTTCTCCTAATTTAAAATATACCAAAGAGTAAACTCTATATTCACTCATAGTTAAACTGCCAGGAGCTAAACACAAATTATTATGTCTGTATTACAGGAAATTCACATTAAAATGCACACTGATTTCTGGTGAGTTTCTGAAATTATGTTAGAACCTTATTCAGCCTAAACCATGAATTGGTATTTAAGCATGAACTATTTTTAAATATTTTAATAGTTATAACTAATGTCAAATTAATACGTATACCAGGCACCATTACATGATGTGTACTATTTCATTTTATCTTTCCCAGCAGCCCCAAGAAGTATAGGTACTATTATTTTCCATATTTACAAATAAGGAAACAGGCTGAGAAAAGTTATTTGAATTTAGAGCCAAGATTCAAACCTGGATCTGTCTCAGTAGAGCCTCTACGTTTAGTTACCACATTGTATTGCCTAAGGGAGAAACGTAAGCAATATTTATTCTTATTATAGTTGGTGGGCCAAGTAGTATCTGTCAACCAACTGTTCTGGTAGATATTGATATAGATATTCTTTTTTAAGACTATGTTAAGCCCAGGAAGTTTTAGTGTTAGAATTTAATTATAGACAAAGCAAAATTGAATATATTACCTGCAAATAATGTTTTGTTTTCTAAAAAGAAAATTATCAAAAGCCACTTTGATACTGTGACCTTTCCTTTCAGTATCTTCAGCAATTTTTTAAGTACTAGAAATGTTTTAGGAAAAACAGACTAAACTGAAACATTGAGCAATGAATTATTTAAAGAACAAGGTTGTAAGGACATTAGGTTTCAGCTATGTTACATTTTTTCTACCTGATTTGGCTGTAAGTGACTTTACAGTAGTGGCACCCAGCCAGAAGTTTAGTACCTTTGAGAGTTTTCAAAGGGTAAAGGTCAAAAAAATCCAACCATGTATGTCGTTTACCCAAGAAAAATGCACAGACTATCTCAAATATTAGATTTCTTGATTTTGGGCTGTGTTTGTGAAAGTTTGTTAGGAGAAATTCTGTCTTTAATTATGAGTAAATGAGAAAATTGATATTTTTAATAATGTAATTTCTTAGCTAAACCTTCAAAAGCTATTTGTAAAAATAATATTTAAAAGTTTCTTAGTTATAAAAAGTTGAAAAGCACTGTTCTAGGAATAAAAATTCTGTTATTTTTATTCCTCCAGAGGAAAGACATGATCTTCATAAAGATCTCATTTAGTTGACTAATTTATGAGAATTAGAAAGAAGTTTAGGGAAGCTTTCTTCAATACTGAAGACAAATAATTTGAAATAGCTGGCTAATGGGAACCCAGAAAAATGCAGATTAATCAGGATGCCATTAAAAGTGAATTGCCATAATTTTTTTTCTTTCTTGCAGTTTATTTACGTGAATCAGTCCTTTGCCCCTTCCCCAGACCAGGAAGTTGGAACCCTCTATGAGGTAAAACATTACTGCTTTATTTTCTTAATGGAATGTGCACATCTGTGTATAGTATGATCATTCATTCACATCATCATTTTAAAAAGTGATGTGCCAGAGCCGGCCCTGTGGCGTAGTGGTTAAGTTTGTGCACTCCGCTTTGGTGGTCTGGGGTTCGCAGGTTCGGATCCCGGGCGCAGACCCATTCACCACTCACCAAGCCATGCTGTGGCAGCGTCCCACATACAAAATAGAGGAAGATTGGCACAGATGTTAGCTCATGGCCAATCTCCCTCACCAAAAAAAAACAATGATATGCCATTCTTAATTGTCAGCAAAGAAGAAATCATTTTCTTGTTCTCTGTTATATCTCTAACACCTTGAACATAGTTGGATCTCAAAAAATTATACAGTGATTGAAGAATTAAGGAATGAATAATACAAACAGAAGCTAACTTGGAAGTATGCCCAGAAAGTAAAGTCTCCTTTTTTACCTACATCTAGTTTCTTCTACGTTGTTTATATAATCAGTAATCTAGATCTGCCTCCAAGAAATTGAAAAGGAGACTGCAAAGAATGACTTTATTCAACATTCTTACAGTTTCATGGCAGTAATTGTTAGAATATACACAGTAGCACCACTACTAGAAAATAGCGTGCACATTATAGTCAGAGATGTAGAAAAGGGACAAGATTAAAATATGTAAGGCTGTCCATGCCTAAGATACTTAAAGGACAGGTTTTATTAAACATTTATGATTACTAATAAGTGTCTGATAGTAACTTGGATCTATTGAAAGAAATACCTTATAGATAACTTACATGTACATGTAGGGTTATTTATGATACATTTTTTTTTCTTACTTTCATCTGAGAAATAACAAAAATTGAGTTTAATTGGTTGCCTTTTTTCTTTTCGTAGTGTTTTGGCAGTGATGGTAAACTGGTCCTGCATTACTGCAAATCTCAGGCATGGGGATGAACTACAGAGAAAAAGATCTTGCTTACTTAAAATGAATTGTCAAAAAGGAAACAGCTGTGAAAAGTTTTGATATTTGTGGCAAGAGACTTATGGATATGATCTACTCAGCATGTATCTACTATGACCCATGTTTATACATAAAAAAATCCATAGAGTAGATGGACTCAAAAAAATGTGATTTGTATTAAAACACAAATCATCATAAAAGATTGACAGAGTATACCCATTACTACAGGTATTGCTCCAGATCTGCCTCCAAGATATTGAAAAGGAAAATAAGACTGTATAAAGCCTCTTTATTATCAGTTCTCAAAATGACTGAAATTGTTTGTAGAATTAGCGCTCTGCTGATTTTTTCCTACTGTAAAAGTCAGTTTACTAAAGGATTCGTTTTGTGCTTGTCCAGGGAAGTTCAATTTGTTTGAGATATGGGATATGCCTTTTCTCGTTTGCATGTTTGTTTACAGTTGTCACCTTATGAAACAAAGCTGCGTTGACCTGCTGGCTCTATACCTTACACAGTCCAGTAGAGGGCAGCACAGCTGGCAGAAAGAGGCCGTTTGGTGTTAGATCTTTGCCAGATGATAATGGAGGAAAAAAGCTGTTCCTGCTCATTTCTACCAAACATCTAGCCAAGAGAGCACACATGTTGACACACTGGAAGATTGCTTTAGAGAAAATGCATGCTGTAGTTATTGTATTTGGAAACAGAAGGAATTTTACAAATTCTGGACGAATGATTCATACAGCTCTTTTCAGTCCTACCATATAATGATTCTTGAGTCCCGATGGTTATAACTGTGGTGTTAGTCTGTCTCTTACTTTTACAGTGTCAAAAGCACTCAGTGAGTACACCTGGCAACATCTTTAAGTTTTTTACAATGCATTTTCCAACTTGAAAATGCTCAAAGAATAATTGAAAAATAGTCTTAGATTTTGTGTGTACTTCATGCCATGACTAAAAGTACCATTTTTACTGATGCTATTAGACTGGTTGTTTGAAGTGAGATTCAATGTTTTTTCTTCATTCTATATTATATTTGTAATGCAGCATTAAAAAAAAAATTCCAGTAAATTGAATGGAATATCCAAACAGGATCTGAGGTGCGTATGAGAATTCTAAGTGTTTATTTTCAAAGATAATGGGATGATATGATTTTGTCAAAGGACTTTGAACTACACATATATCCCCTAAACCCCAGAATGTACTTTATGGTTAATGATCTGCCATACATTAGCTTTAGGGAAGGCTAAGGAACAATTCAGTTTACGGTGATGAAATCGCTGTTCAGTTCTCATTTTCTGCCCAAGAATAAATGCTTAAGTCCCCTTATACCCATGTCCCTGTTTAATAAATTAATACAGCTAGTAGTTAGCACTGAAATAATATGGATTGAATTGTCAAATTTATCTTGTAAGACTAGGTAAGAAGTTAATATGTGTGTTGAAAGCTGGAAATGTATTATTTTTGAGTCAAATAAGTTGGATATGAAAAAGATCTGTTCTCTAGCTTCATCCACTTACAGTTTACTGAAGGATGTGAACATATTTACTTATATGCATATCTTATTTAACAAATAGCAAAAATGTGTTTAATTTACACATCATGTTTGCTGCTGCAGTTTCAGATGATAGAATATTTACTACCTCAATCAAAACTACTTGAGTTTGAATTTGTGACATCAATTTAATTGTCCTTTTTTTTTTTGTGAGGAAGATCAGCCCTCAGCTAACATCCATGCCAATCCTCCTCCACTTTATATGGGATGCCACCACAGCATGGCCTGACAAGCGGTGCAACGGTGTGCGCCCGGGATGTGAATCCGGGCCGCCGGCAGCAGAACGCGTGCACTTAACCGCTACGCCACCGGGCTGGCCCCCAATTTAATTGTCCTTTTTTGATCTAAATAACTTATTTATTAAGTCTAAGGTTAGCTAAATATATATATCTTATTTTCTTCCCTAATAACCTTGAAGAATGTACAGGGCTTTACACTTTTTCAAACCATATTTACATTTTTATCTCTTAATCCTTACCCAAACAATTAATCATTCCATGCTAACTGCAACATTTACTTGTAAGCCTGGATCCCATAAGTTATTGGGTAACTAGAACCTAAAACACAGTTCACAGATATTTTTGCAGGTGTCTGGTTTATACTGACCTAATTGTAATTGAACTCGGCAGAGAAACTGAATCCTCAGGTTATATTTTAAGTTTTGCACGTTTATGAGGAAATGGATGTCAATAACGTCACACTTTATTTTCCTGTGCAAAGATGACCGGTAGCACACAGAATGTATATAATATTAGAATATTGTGCTTCCATCTTTGAAGGTACCTGTGCCAAGGACTTCATAATGAGTCCCCCATATTAGAGTATAAGGTAAGCCAAGAATGTTTATCTGTAATCAAAATAAGATTGGATACTTCCTGGAATCTTTGATTTTCTAGAAGTCTAAACCCTGAAGGGACCTTAAATATCATCTACTCTAATCAGATTAGAAAACTCAAAGAGATGTGCAGACTATGTCTTAGATTATATAGCATTGTAACCCAGAGTGGGAAAGTCTGTGGTGTTCAAGGGATATGAAAATGAATATCACCTTTCATACAGTTTCTGCTTCATTTTCCAAGGATTATAATATACTTGGTAAGCTTCTGGCACTAGGGAAGTCAGCAACAGACCACATAATGGAAGGAAAAGTATTCAGAAAACAGTTCAGCAGGTTTAGTCTTACAAATACTATTTTCTTACAAGATTATTCAGCCCACCCTGGATTATTCAGTATTCCCTGAATGTGCCTTGTGTTTTTCTGTTTCCTAAATCTGCTCATGCAGTTCACTTCTGGAAATGTACTTACCACTTTACCCCTTCAAATCCTACTGTTCTGCTTAATTCAGTTTTTAACTCTTCTTAAAGTTTATCTGAGTCACTCAAGAAGGAGATACTCTCTCCGTCAAAAGAACACTTAACAGCAAACTACCACTATTACAGCACTTACTGCATGCTACCTTATAAGCATGTGTCCCAGACCCTTTCATGATTGAAATGGCCCTGAAAATAGGATTTTTTTGGTTTTTTATTTGGTACCCACACACATATAATAGTACATTTCCTTACACACATTTAATTAGTAATTCATTACATATTGAATAAATGAATTTAAGTGTGGCTTGGAAAGTATGATTTAACTTAGAAAAACAACAATCATGGAAATTGGTGTGTTTTAAATTTTTGTGTGGCAGAAGATAAAGGAAAATATTTGCAACATATGACAGGGTTTTAATGTCCAGATGTGAAGAACTCATTTCAGTCAATAAGGAAAAACAAACCACCTGAAAAATGGGCAAAAAATATTAAAAAGCAATTCACAAAATATACAGAAGGCCAGTAAAGCATGAAAAGTGCTGAACTCCATTAGTTATTAAAAATACAAACTATGAATTATTACCTATCATAGAAGTAATAATGTAAAACAATGTAATTACTAGTATTGGCAGAGTTGTGGGGAAATAAGTCTTGTCATATTCTTGGTGACTGGAATGTGAATTGGTATACATTTTTAGGGGGGAATTTGGCTTTTTTTATCAAAAGCCTTGAAACTGAGTATAAGCTTCCATTTGTTCATTCACATATTGAGTGCCAACTGTGTCCTCAGCATTGGAATAAGATTCCTCTTCTCATGGTGCTTTCATTCTAATTGGGAGGCAGATTTTCAGATATGAATTTAAATAATTCTTGAATTTTTTAAATTGAATTTTAGAAGTAATGAAAAGTAAAAAAGATATTTGATACCAGATATTAGATTTACCTGTGTTTTCTTATGTAAATGAAAGGTAAAACATATGTATATGAGTGTGATTAGAATCTTAAGTTAGAAGAATCCTTATAAATCAACTCCCATAGTTCCTTCTATGTCCTCATATCAGATATACATGAAGCTCATGTTGATTACTTCTGGTGCTGGCCACAAAGAAAGCCCTGTCCATTTTGTGATGGCTCTATTCCTTACAGAACTGTCTTCCTTACTTTCTCCCTGCCTCTTCCAACTCTTTGTTCCCAGTTGTAGTATCTAGATCTACAAAGCATATCTTTTCCCCTGTTCCCACCCCGGTTCTCCTAAGTCTTCTCTTAGTCATGGCAAATCCATTCCTTCCAGTTAGTTAGACTCATTCTTGATCCCTCTCTAACAACCTGTTTCCAATCAATCAGCAAATCCTGACAGCTTTACCTTCAGAACATGTTCAGAATCCAACCATTTCTCATCTCTTTTGCTCCCACTCTGGCCAAAGCCCCCATCAGTCTTTCACTCAAATTGTTGTTCCTTTATCTCCTCTCTCCTTTGGCCCAAATCCCTGAATGGCTTCCCATATCAGAATAAAAGCTAAAGACCTTACATTGTCCTGCAAGGACCTGTGATCTGCAGTCCCCCCTTCCACACCGTGCCACCCACATCTATGTTCATCTGTGTTGTTATTCAAACACTAAGCTTGCTCCCATTCCAGGGCTTTTGTACTTAGTGTTTCCTCCACCTGGAAACCCCCTTCAGACAACTACATGTCTCACTAACATCCTTCAGTCCCTCCTTAAATATCACTTCATCTAGGAAGAGTTCCCCTGAACTTCCTCTAAAATGACGACTCACCACCTCACTACCCTCCTTCCCCTTCTTTTTCTCCATTGTATATTGTATACAGTACCGTGTGTCCATTTCTCCCTGTGTACATATATAATATTTGTTGACCTGTCTACCCTCCCCCCATTAGAACATAAGCCCTCTGAGGGCAGAAGCAGTTTTGTGAGCAGTGCCTGGCATACAGTACTTTTAAAAATATGTTAAACGGATGAATAGATGAACATTTCCAGACCTCTAATAATTCTAGTTTCCTCCTCTGGATATCTACCCCAGGTCAATATCTGTCTTAAAATGTGACAGTCATTGCCCTGGGCAATGCAGAGTGCAGTAGAACTACTACCCCTCTGGATATAGGTATCCTGCTTATGTTATTAGAGCCTGTAATGTTAAGCACCTTTTTTTTTTTTTTTTTTTGACAGTAGTTAGGTTACAGTGTGCAACTCTTAGGAAAAATTTGGGTGTCCTTTGCAGAGAAAACAAAACTTGAAACAAGTTTTCTGGATTTGAACTCATAACCCCAGGATTTCTAAAGAAAAACTACCAATTGAATTGCTCTAGCCAATTACCAATATGCTTTTTCTAAATTCATCATTCATGCATACCCAAGGCACTGTGTGCAGGGCATAGAGGAGGATATAAAAATAAAATATAAGTGGAGCCTATCCTAAAGGTTCTTACTGTCAAGATGATCTACATAAGTAACTGTAATACTTGTTGCAAAGTGGTAGGTGCCTAAGAAAGATTGACTACTGCCCCAGTTGTTCAGGAGGAGATATAGCTTATTTGAGAGGAAAGCACCTGAGCTAAGACCTTAAGATAAGATTTGGACATATTGAAATGGCCCTCTAGAATCTAGGCAGAAGGAAAAGCTTAAGCAAAAGAATGGATTTGGCAAGCACAAGAAATAGTAACTAATTCGCGCCGGCCCAGTGGCGCAAGCTGTTAAGTGCGCACACTCAGCTGCAGCGGCATGGGGGTTTGCCGGCCCCGATCCCGGGCGCGCACTGACGCACCGCTTGTTAAGCCATGCTGTGGCGGCGTCCCATATAAAGGAGAGGAAGATGGGCACGGATGTTAGCCCAGGGCCAGTCTTCCTCAGCAAAAAAAGGATTGGCATTGGATGTTAGCTCAGGGTTGGTCCTCCTCACACACACGCAAAAAAAGAAATAGTGACTAATTCAATTTGGCTGAAAGATATATTTATACAGAATAGTATAAGGTGAAAGTTGAAAAAGATATTTTTAGAGCCAAAACACGGAGAACTTTAAATGCCAGACTGGCAAACCTAGTGTGTAGGAAATAAGAGTTACTGAAAGTTTCTGACCAGGAAACATCATCAGTTTGTGCTTTAGGATAAATTAATCTAATGGCTGTGTTGGGGAAAAGTGGAACCGACAAATCCAGTTTAGAAGGCAAGTGCAGTAATCCAGCCAAAATAGAATAGAAGCTTGAACAGGTGGTGTAGCAATAGGAATAGAAAGGTGGGAAAACAAAAGATACTATGGAGATACAAAATTTAGCAATTGCTTAAAAAGGCTTGAGAATGAAGCAAGGAAAGAGGAGGCAGTGATGGATGAGGTTTTTGAGCATAGGTAGCCTCATTACAGAAATAGAACCTCCAGGACTTGAAAAGCATGCTTGAAAGGAATTTTAAATATATTTCATCTGAGGTGCCAAAAGGTGTTAAATAGAGATTGCTCTCCACATATAAATTAGGGAGATGTGGGAGGCATCCTCATAGAAGTGATTAATAAAATTGTGGGTTCAGAAAAAGGTTTAGAGAAGAGCAATGAATGTGAATGTGTGCATATGGCGTATTAGCAAAGATTCTTGAGGTCTTTGAAGGTTATTCAGAGCCAGAGAAAGTAGAAAAAGAATTGTCCAGAAAATTTAGAGAAGTGTAATCCACTATGAAGTGCAGAGAAGTTAAGCTTGTATTTGATTTTTGTTCATTCCAAATATTCATGGATTAGAATAGCTGAAATGAATTGAGACTCAACAGAAAACACTGACAAGAATAAAAAAAAATTTGAGTAAACAATGAAAATTGTAGAAGTTACTCTGTCCGAAAATAACCACCTCTCTGCAACACACATCACAAAGCGTTGGCTTCTGGAGTGCTTTCTACCTATAGCCCTTTTGAACAATGGTTATTAAGCTGTCGTTTTTACTTGCTAACAGCATTGTTAGAATACTTATAGTGTAATCAGTTTAAAGTAAGACTTCAAGTGGCACAAGTAAATTTAAATATAATATATTATATATAGACACACATATGTATATACATGCATACATTGAAGCAAAGTCTAGAAAAAACAGACCAGTCTTCCAGATGTCTTGACCTTTAATAACTTTGAATCCAAATTATTCCCTGGGCCCGTGTATAATAAGAAAGAAGAAATCTATACTTGCATTTCTTTTGTCCCTCATATTTTCATTCATATTTAATGTGTGGTGTTCTCAAAGCGTGCTAAGTGCTGTGCTCGGCACAGAAATGCGTTTCCCTACGTATATTACCAGTAGGCCCCTTCAAGCACGGCTACAATACAATTAAAGGATTTAAGTAGTCTAATTAAAACCCTTTAAATTGGGGGACCAAAAAAAGCGTGTTTTTTTTTCACCGTTAATTGAAACACCAGGTCTTTGCAATGAATATGTTATTTTTTAGGAAATGTTTGATTTTAAAATCAAAGAGGGATACCAGGCCTTCCATCGTTTCACAAGTCTTGCTCGAGACCCAAGTCTCCTTTGTCAAAATGTACTTTCAGTACAGTACGTTTGAAATTTTTTAAAGGAAGTCCTTGACTTATTTTCACCTAGCCTGGAGCATGTTATCCATAGTTTCAATCGACAAAACAGTAGCTCTCCAGCTTGGGAGTAGAATCCATCCTCAACCTCCGCGGGCTCCTCACAATTCCTCAGCTCTATTTGGAAGGAAGGGTCCCTTTCCTTGCGCTTCGTTCCTCAATTTCCCCAGTCTTTTTCTCCTGACCCCTTCTGCCTCTGTCCTAGCGTCGGAAACCACAGACGCGGAGAGGGGCCTCACAGAGCGGCGGCGGCGAGGGGCGCGGAGAGAGGGGTTGGGATGGGCGGCCAAAACGCGCCCTGTGAAGGTGGGGGAGAGACTGCGCGAAGCCCACCGCCAGCGCAGAGACACGGGAGGGAAAGCTCCCGCGAGGGCCACAGTGCTCGAGAGGCCGGGGCCGCGTGCGGGGGCCGTGCCCGCACGCTCTCGCCGCCTCCGCCGCCTTTCTCAGGTCGCTGGCCGCCTCTCCCCACCCTCCAAGGGACGTTGGTACATTCCCGCTGACTCCGAGAGCTTAAAAGGGCCCGTGAGGCTGCGCCCAGTGGATTTGGTCCTCATTTGTGCGCGGGGCTCGTGTCCTCATCCCGCCCCCGCCGCGCGCCCAGATCCGCCAAGCTGCCGGGGGAGTCTTGATATCTTGGCGAAGGTTTCTTTACGCTGTGGCGCTCTAGCGTTTGGGGGTTGTGTGTGTAGCTGTGTTGCTCGCAGCTAGGGCCCCTCGCCCTCGGCCCCTCGGCTGGCTTAGCACCGCAGCCCCGCAGTGTGCAGCGCGCGCCGCCAGCTCCGCAAGGGATGGAGCAGACCGAGGTCCTAAAGCCACGGACCCTGGCCGATCTGATCCGCATCCTGCACCAGCTCTTCGCCGGCGAGGATGTCAACGTGGAGGAGGTACAGGCCGTCTTGGAAGCCTACGAGAGCGACCCCGCCGAGTGGGCAGTGTACGCCAAGTTCGACCAGTACAGGTGAGCGCGCTTTAGCCCTGCCGGCCGAGGATCTCGGGCGCCGGCCTCGAAGAGCGGGCGTGGGGGAGGGGGTCTGGCTCCGGGAGAGCGCGGGCCGCGCTGCGCCCACCCGCCCACCGCTCCCGAGCCTTTGATGCACCGCCGCGCCGCGCCTCCTCGTCCGCGGGCGGCCGGGCTGGCGCTTTGGGCCGAAGGTGGATTCCTCTGGCCTTGATGGCCGCTGGCCGCAGAGCGGCAGGCTCGCGGAGGGGAGGCCACCGCGCGCCTGCAAGGTTTTCTATTCTCTTCTCGCCCGTGAATCTCGCCGCTTCCAAACCGCCACTCCTCCTCCTGCCCCCGGCCTCGGGAGCAATGCCCTCCCCTCTGGAGCGAGCGCTCGCCTCGGACGCCGAGATGCGGGGCGACCCGGGTGGCCGGACACACTTAGGCTCTACCCTGCCGTCCGCCCTGAGGAACCGACTGGCTGGACTAACGGAGGTGCTCCCAGGAGAGAACTGCATCAGCCATCCGGACAAAGGGCCGACGGCGGAGGACGCAATTCCCCGACGCCAGTTCTCCTCCATCGCTTCGCCCTCGGTCGCTTGCAACCAGGCACCTGCCAACAGGCATTTATCTGATACAAAATAGCGTCTTGGAGTTGTCAGCTGCTCTTTTTCAATTTATACTGCTCCTCTCCCAAACCATTGTAACTTCCCGGAATGCAGGTTTATTTAAACCCGCTATCAGGTTCGCGAATTAAACGACTGCTGCTTTTCCATCCCCCAAGCCATAGACTTGCCCTTATCCTCAGTTCTGAGGATCTGGCCTGTAGATTGAAGACCGATGCTTCCTAGATGTGCTTGAGTGTGATGCCCAGGCAGGCTGGGTCCTTACAGCCTCGGCTTGGTTATTAAGTAAAACTGATCTCTCTACCAACCCTCTGGGCGAGAAGTAAAATTGAATCACCCTGAAGGGTAATAGGTTCTTTTCCGAAGGGCAGCCTTTATGGATGGTTAGGTTGACGGTAGAGAGAAGTGGGGGGTGGGGGGGATCGTTGAAAGAGAAGAATAAGAAGATGAAGTTTTCCTTGGGGGCAGTCCATTAGGCACCTCACCTAAACATACACAGTGTGTTTGGTAAGGTTTTGTCGGCAAGGGCTGTTTCAACTGTATTTTAGGATTTGAAATAAAGTGAAGCCTACTTAGGATCCATCCCATTTTCCACTTGCAAGTGACTCTAGGAAATTCCTTTGGTTTGTATCAACTCAGTTCATCGTAAAGTCCTTCTGTGCCTGCCAATAAAGCTACCAGAGTCTAGTTTTTAATTTTGCTATTAGCTCCAGGTAATTGAGGGCTTGTTATGGGCCGGGTACTCATCCAGTCACTTTACACGTGTTAACTCATTTACCTCACAACAGCTCTAAGACAGAGGTTCTGTTCTTACCCTTATTTTACAGGTGAGGAATGGTAGGCGGTAAAAAAGTTGGATTACCTGCACAAGGTCGTACTTGTATCAAGTAGCAACTCTGGGGATTCAAATTAGCATTGTTTCAGAGCCCACACTCTAAACCACAACTAAACTTCCTGCAGACATGGTGCCATAATAGTTTTCTTCTGTCTGAATATATTATTATTGACCAAGTGAAATTAATTAACCAGGGTAGGTTGTAAGAGCTCTTAATCTTTAGAACAACGGCATTTCTAGGGGCCTTGAATTCCTCTTGATTGACAAGCTTTAAACCATTTGAAATGCAATCAGTTGGACTATTCCACAGGTATCTGAGGCACAGCCGAAAAAGGGTGCAGTCTTGGGTGGGCAGTTGGGGGAGGTTGGGGGGAGATGGGAAATCAGAAATCAATTTGATAGTGTTTTCGTTTGTAATAGATGTCCTAGCATTGTGAAGGATTCTGATCTCTGCCCTTGGGAAAGCCAATGCAGAAGAACAAAGACAGAATATGTTCCAGGGTGGGCCAGACAGTAAATTCTCTGGAAGAAGACCTACAAAGCAAGACTGGTGACCCAAAGTGTAATGAAGGGAGATGTAGGATCCTGGTACAGGAACGGAGTTTACTGTGAATTAAAGGCTGGGTGCACAGCCCCTTGCTAGGGTATAAAGGGCTACAAAACAACGATGACTGATGTCTAAAAAGCACTTACTAATCTCCTCCTCAGTGACCCTGCTCTGCCAGCACCTGGCCTCCAGCCTGGAGGAGGAGAGGGGAGGAAGAGGCATGTGGAACAGAAGTGAACAGATGACTATGTGAAAAAACACTACCCCAAAAATGGGGTAAAGAGTCCTTTCCTTAACGATGACAGTCTAAATGAATGTCATAATTATCAAACTTATTGATGCTAATTAGATGGCATCGGGAATACCACTGGGACCAATAGAAGCATTAAAGTTGATTTTTTTTCTTAGTGGTTGTAGTTTTGGTTTAGGATTTTTTTTTTTTTTTTTTTTTTTGGCCAGTTAACTGGTTTCTCACTGTAAAAGGTTTAGAGCATCATTTGCTTCCCTAATGTAGCCTCCTTTGCTCTGATACTTAGGTCGACTGCCACCCTATTTGTGGAGGACTTCATTAGGACTTTTCATATGCTTTTGAATGTGATTTGTGTCTGGGCTATAGTAAAACTAAGAAGAATTCTAGAAGAGCTATTTAACAAAACCTTGTTACTCAAGTTCTGGTTTAGCTACAGGGAGGGAAGAAACAAAACAGTAGTAACATTCTTGCCTAGAGCAGTAATGCACTTTGCAAATACCTTCTGTGAGAAACTTTTATTCTTTTTATCAGTTTGAGGCTGTCACATGTAGAATCGTGGAATTTGCTTTCTTTTCCTGGTGCCTTTTCAGTGCCATTAATTACAACTGAGCAGCTGTAAATGCAGTGATTAAAAATACAGAAATGTCCAAAATGAACTGTGAAAAAATATTTGTTTTCATTTGTGCTGGATTTCTAATTAGAAAACGGCAAAGTTGCTTAGAGGTAGAAATGTTAACATTTGTAAATGAATGATACTTTGTGACTCACTGATTTTTCCCAGTGCTTGTTTCATCAACCAAATTCAAACTTCTGAATGTATTCTTTTTAGGTATACCCGAAATCTTGTGGATCAAGGAAATGGAAAATTTAATCTAATGATTCTATGTTGGGGTGAAGGACATGGCAGGTAATACAACTATTCTTTTGCAGATATTTATTAGAGTATCTATTCTAGGATATGAAAAGTACAGTCCAGGCTGGCAACAACTCTTGTGAGCACTAACAAATCTCATTTTATAATTATTTGTTCACAACATCCCCTAATCCCAACAAAAATTCTCATGTGAACTAGCCTGAGGGGTTTAGGTGTACACCATGCATATCAAAACAGTCCCCCAAAATGAGTAGTAAATCAAAGGAGACATGTAACCAGTTTAACTTAATCTTTGTCTTCTATGGAGTTAAACTTTATATGAATTGTGCTAAAACTTGACCTTTGTGGTGCTTTGACGTATGTAAACAATGATGGGACCAAAGACCAAAGCGTGCAGATTCGGAGCTAGAAAAGCAATTCACAAATTCAGAAAATTTCTTTCTACTTCAAGTTAATTGTGTACTTTCTTTATATAGAAGGTAAGGCAACTTAAACTAATACTGATTGTTTGAAACTTGGTTCCTTAATTTGTCCTAAATTTACACATTTGCCAATCTTATTACCAACTTTTTTTTTTTTTTTTTGTGAGGAAGATCAGCCCTGGGCTAACATCCATGCCAATCCTCCTCTTTTTGCTGAGGAAGACCAGCCCTGAGCTAACATCTATTGCCAGTCCTCCTTTTTTTTTTTTTTTTCCCCTTTTTCTCCCCAAAGCCCCAGTAGACAGCCATATGTCATAGTTGCACATCCTTCCTGTTGCTGTATGTGGGTTGCCGCCTTAGCACGGCCGGACAAGCGGTTCGTCAGTGCGCACCCGGGACCCAAACCCGGGCTGCCAGTAGCGGAGCGCGTGCACTTAACCACTAAGCCACGGGGCCAGCCCCGCCAATTGAGTATTGTTATCTCTTGAAACAGATCCTTCTTGGTCTTTTGAGAATGGTGAAAACAATAATCCAGACCCATTTTTGATGGGAGAAAGGAAACATGAATTTACAAGACTTTGGAAAGTTAGGTTTATAGAGTACATTCATTTATTCATATGAGATTGAGTTATTTTCATTCAGTATTTTTTGAAAGCAAATTATATGTCAAGAGTAGGACTAGGCTCTGGATTTAGGAAACAAGTTCTTATGGATTGTATATGGGTTAATAGAATTCAACATATGAAATAAATGCCAATAATGTATACCAATTCATATCTTTTAATCAACCCTACAGCTAATACTACTTAATAAACTTAAATACTATTTACTCTAAGATTACATGAATAAATCCTTTCCCCAAATCCAATTTATTTTCTCCCACCAATATTGAGAGGTAATCAAAGGTAGGATACTCTAAATCTACAAAATGCTAACATTATATACTTTTCTGTATAATTTTAGGGTAGTAATGCATACACATACCCTTTGTTCTCCAAAGGAAGGAGAAAAGAGAAAAAGCCTGGGCAAAAACACTAAATGTTAAGTGTGATGCAATTATTATAGATGATTATCTTTATCCTTTCTAAAATTTCTCTAGTGTGGTTTTATAATCAAGTTCTAGCCCAGCTTAACTGAATTATTAAAAGCTATATTTTGAACAAGATAAGACTGCTAGTTTTGTTTTGTTATCAAACTAGTATTACAAAAAGGTTTTAAAAAATTAACTGTTCTTTAGTAGAGGTATATGTCAAAACTGTACCCCTTATATGCATTGATATGGAAGACTTTTTTTTTTTATTACTTTGCCCTGAACAGTGTTGAATTATGAATTGATGACATTTAAAAATCCAGCTGAAATAGATTTTGGCCTGGGAGATGTCCTGTTGACAGTGTGCAGCTGTGAGCTCTGGGCAGACTGTTACTGCAGATCTGGGTACTAGACCATCCACTGAGTTCAGTTGTCACTTTGTGTCTACATAGCAGTATCCATGATCACACTGACTCCCACTGCTTTCTGAAGATGCTACAGGGAAATCTAAAGGAGACGTTATTTGCCTGGCCAGACAAAAAATCCAATGAAATGATCAAGAAGTCAGAAAGAATCCTGAGGGAAAACCAGTGTGCCTACATCAACGGTAACATCCAGTACCTTTTTCTAAGGGCAAGTGGGAAAAACCTTGAACTCCCATCTGAAATATTGGTTTCTTTTTTTTTTTTTTTTCTTTTTGTGAGGAAGATCAGCCCTGAGCTTAGATCCATGCCAATCCGCCTCTCTTTGCTGAGGAAGACCGGCTCTGAGCTAACATCTATTGCCAATGCTCCTCGTTTTTTCCCCCAAAGCCCCAGTAGATAGTTGTATGTCATAGTTGCACATCCTTCTAGTTGCTGTATGTGGGACACCACTTCAGCATGGCTGGGGAAGCAGTGCGTTGGTGCACGCCCGGGATCCGAACCCAGGCCACCAGTAGCAGAGCGTGAGCGCTTAACTGCTAAGCCGCGGGGCCAGCCCCGAAATATTGGTTTTTTACACGTGTGCAATACAACTTGCATCATGGAGTCATGATTTCAAATATTTGCGAAAGGACCTAAAAGCAGTGGGTTTTGATTTTTAAAGCTTTGCATCTGGATTGGAATCATTTATTAAAAGCTTATGCAGGTAGATTAGCACCCACTGCAAAAGTCATTTACCTGCCAAGTCTTAGGACAGTTAGAATTGAAGATGAATTTATGTAAGTAGAGTCTTTTAGTAAAGGAGTGAGGCCAAGTTGGAAATATTAGTTTCTGTGTTAGAAAATGTAAAGAAATGTTTTGGAAGTGATAAAGAATGCTAGCTAGTCCCTGTTTTTCCAAAATGCATACAGCATACTTAAAAGAGTATTCTCTAGGGAAACTTTGCAAAGCATGTTATTTAGCAGTGATTTATAGATCTCTTACCAAGAATTCATTCTTTTCCCTCAGTGTGATATGGGACAGCCAAAAGCTTTTCAGGAGAGGCGGTGATTAACGTCCATCTTCCTAAGGGGGATAATAACTTTCCAAAAAGTTCATTAAAGCTTATTTTTTATTCCCATTTACAGATGAGATTGCCAACACATAGGAAGATTAAATAACTTGTCTAGGGTCATTCAGCTTTCAAATGGCAGCCAAGATTTGAACCAAGCAATTTGATTCCAAAGCCTGTACTCTTGATCAGGATGCTATCCCACTTATATAAAATCATATATTACAGAGATTTTTCTGGCAAAGCAGGTTCTTTGTTCTTATATCTTAAAGTCCAGTATTGACCTTGATACTTGGCCTAAATTTATTCATTAGTTTAAAAATGCAAGCCACTTACAAAGGTCAGATTGTATAGAAAGTTTTTTACCCCATTCACATAACACAAAGTTGTTAGTTTCTTGTGTAGCAGGAAACTTATTTGAGGCATGCTATGTGTATAGGCACGTCAGATTTCCAAGAACAAGTTTGCTGCCTGTATCACTCACAACAAAGCCAAAAGCCTTTCAAAAAACTTACTTTCAGCTAGAGTCACAGAATGTTTGTGAAACTAGATTAGATCTTGAAGAATAGGTAAGCTTTTCTCAAGTCTTCAATGCAAAAGCCTACAGGAGCCAAGCAGGTAAAGTGAGTGAGTGGTGCAGGCCGGGAATAAGACTGTGGGAGCTGGTGTGTGAGCCACGCTGACTAAGAGGGTAGCAATGGCCACTCAGCTCCAGCTAAATTGTCCAGATTTCTTTTTCCATAGAAGTGGGAAATTCCAATTTTTATGGGAATTTTGCCAGTCAGTAAAATATCAGGTGTGATAAGCTAAATATTTCTGTAGACTAATTACCCATATAATCAAAAACCACAAATTTTAAGCCTTTGATTTTTACAGATGCAGGAGTAGGAGTGCAGATGGATAGTGATCAGTGGGAAGGATGTTTCAAGTATAGGGAGGAGCATGAACGAAGGCACCATTATTGCAAAGAATGAAAACTATTCAGAAATGATCTAGCTGGAGGGAAGAAGGAAGAATGGGCTTGCACACGAGTAGTGGGAGAGAAAGGTGAGATCAGGTCCTGGGCTGCCTCCAAGACCAGCTTAAAGTAAGAGCTTGCTTTGGTCAAGAGCATTTTTTCTGTAATATCTTGATCAGTTCAGTAGCTGTGTGCAAGACAGAGTGGAGGAAAGGCAGAGTTGGGGCAAGGAGACCAAGAATAGGCAAAAGGCGGACATGGCCTAGACCAAACTGGTATCCATTAGTATCACCATGAAAGATCTAATAGTACTGTGACAGAGAGTACACCATGGGTATAAAAGAAAGGAGGCAAAATAATGATAATAATAATAATGCTGGGATTATTAACAGTAGGGGTCAGCCATGAGCCTCCAGGGCTTCCCTTTCTAAGGGATGGGTGACTAGTTTTTGTGGGGTCTTTGCTTGCAGGATTGTCCAGCATGCATTGGGTGGTGTATGTACTTGCAGTTGGAGAAACAATTTATTTGTGTAAAGAGCAGTCAGTTCTTAAGAATGTTGAACTTTTGTTCAAAATTGTGCTTAACCCAGTACATTTTGAAAGCAGTAAACTATAGAATCAAAGAGTTTGCAGATCTGAGATTTAAGCCCCATTTTTAGAAATGAGGAAAACTGAAGATCCTAGAAACAGTGAGTGGTTCAAAGATAGTCTAGCTAGCTACTCGAGCTGAGAGTAGGACCTAAGTCTTCTGCTTCTAGGCTTTACTATTCTTGATCGTGCAAGCTCGTGGAGCTAGATCATAAGGTATAAAGCCAAATTAGGGGCCTACGTTAACTACACTAATTACACTGCATTTCTTCCTGGATTAGTCCTCAAACCCTCTCCTAAATACATAAATTTCTTCTCAACGTATTTTTTAAAAATTGAGTATTTTAATCTTGAAGACATCTCCCCCAGGGCCTTTTGACCTGCTTCAGTGTGGATTGGTTGATCGCTAGGCCAGGGCTCAGCTGTCATCCTGGGGTCCCCTCACATCACCCAGGCTTTCCCTTTGCTCTCTCTTGTTACTGACCCCCTTGTTTCCTGACCTCGTGTCTGCTTTGTTCTTGGTCCATGCCCTTGTTTTGGTGGAGCATATCCTCCAACGGCTCTATGAGAGAGGGTTCTTGGAAAGTAAATTTTTGATACCTCATATATCTATATTCAACCCTTGCAACGTAAGTCTTCTCCTGAGTGGTGTCCATTTCAAGTTGCTGTTTTTCGGGTTGTGCTGGCCTCTCTTTCATACTAGAGGCCTTGCTCCAATGTCCGGTGGCCTTGGCTGTGTGCTAATATTTAAAAACCAGGGACAAAAAAGTTAACTGGTAGCTCTGAACACATGGATGGTGTTTGTCAACTGGACTTCACTCTAGGATAATTGGGCAGACCTTTTTCCTTGAGGGACAACCAATGGCAGTATCTTGAGGGTTTTGTTCTTGATCAGATCAGATTCCCCAAGAAGCTGCTTCTCGTCTCCTGCCTGGAGAAAAAATTCCTGTCTGGCGACATTCCGGCAGCTAGCTGGTGAAGAAAGCGGGGATCCTGCCATTCAAGATGTAAATTTTCACTTGTCACCTGCTTTTCACCAGTCCTGAGTTCATCTGCTGTATTCTTTCTAGAGAAGAGATTTCAGAACTCAACGGAGCAGGGGAAGGAGCTGGGTAGGCGGGAGTGTTCAAAGGGATTTGAGACTCTACTTAAATAAGTTTTCAGAAGTGCCTGTGCTGCCAATTCCTGAACTGTTTGGGAGTTTTAAGATATAAATCAGGTTATTTCTTAGCTGTCCCATGGGTAGGAGAGGATTTAGCTTTCTCTCCTCTGCAAAGCCATCCATCTACTTTCAAGCTTTCAAATTTTTATTAATATTTTCTCTTTTTCCATTTTCTTTTTCTTTGTATGTGGATGCCTTTTTTATTCTTTTACTGCAATTGTAGGTTTTCAGGAAAGAGCAGAGTGCCTGTTGCTTACAATCTTTAACTAGAAGTTCAATTCTAATTTCTATTAATTCCATATGTATCAAATTGATTTACCATCTTAGGTGATAGACAAAATTTTTACCTACAGCTGTCATCTAAGCTCCTGTTCTTCCTTCGTGGATATTGTTTAGATTCCATTGGCTTACATCGAGTAGAGAATATTAGCCATACGGAACCTGCCGTGAGCCTTCACTTGTACAGTCCTCCTTTTGATACATGCCATGCCTTTGATCAAAGAACAGGACATAAAAGCAAAGTCACCATGACATTCCATAGCAAATTTGGAATCAGGACTGCACTTGTAAGTATAATTTCTCTCTTCTAGGTTTAAGTGCTTTATGGGTTGGCAACATTACACCGTATGCATTGCTTTTTTTGTTCTAGATATTATTTTAATATATTGTTTTAAGTGTTCTTGAATTGAAGAATGAGCTGAACCTTAACTTGGAAGAAGGGCCCCTGATATCCTAATTCTTTTCTTTAACTTTGGAGAGTATATTTTCAATTTATAAAAAACTTAAATTAGATGCAAAGAATTGTTTATTGAGAAACCTCAAAATGTATGCCCATTCCTAAAGAAAATGTTTTCTCTTCATTTATTAGAGAAATAAGAGTGAAAACAATATTATTTGGTGTAACTGCTACTGCTCTGACTTTAGTGTTCATAGATCTAACTTGCTGGGACAACGCAAATAACTTGCATAGTCAACCTTTGCAAAGTGGAGACCCTTTTCTGATGATATAAAGAAACTTGCTTGTTTTGATGGCCAGGTTACTTTTTCTTTGAGTAGTGATGCTATTTAGACCACAAATGAATGAGAATAGACTATAATATGGTCCGCCTTGAGGAACACCTGTTTCCACCTTAAAATAATAAGGCAACCAACAGTAATATGGTATGGCAGTCTTCTCTGGTGAAATAAGTTGGCCATTTAGGGGGATGGTTTTTAGTAATTGGAATGTCTAAAAGTAGACAGTGCATGAAAACAGAGCCTGAAAACAATTCTCATGAATTATAAGAAAGTACAGCCTTTGAGAGAAGCTGGGGTGGAATTTTCTGAAGTGACCGCCTTGCTTTGTTTTCTGCATTCCAACCCCAAGAGATGCTCTTATCACAGCAACAAAACCACAGGGCTCCAGTGCCATAGCTGAGTTTTCATTCACTGCTAGAAAAGCAGAACTTAGAACAAGCCAAAATGTCTCGTGTCAAGATTCTTACTCATCTTTCTTTTTTTCTTTCTTACAGACAACTTCTGGATCTCTGGAGAACAACTAAGGAATACGAAACCCTCTGAAGTTGTACTTTAAGGTCCGCTGAAAGTTTTGCCTTGGACAGGAAGGGCCTTCCACCATTTGCTGCCCAGTAATATACTTTACAAAGCCAATACTTAGATCTACTGTAAGGTAGATGTGATTGTAAGGCATTAAGTAAGCAAAGAGTGCCCTGAGCTACTGCAGGAGAAAAAGTCCCACTACAGAAAAAAAAAGCTTGTAATTTTAAAGGCCAAATCAAGTGCTCTCCTGGTTTTATCCTCTAAATCCAGTGGAACCATACTGGGAAGGTCAATGAAGGTTTTTATAGCTTTTGGAAACACTTTGGTCTCTGAACTATAATTAGCAATAAATAAAAACAAGAAACCACAGACATCAAATGCCTGCCTTGTTACTTGGAGGACTAAATGTAGATATCTTTAATATACTTTGTATTTCCTTAATATTTGAAGAGAATCTTTTGAATCTGTGGATATTATTTTTTCAATCTTATTTTACAAATTCTTGTTCTATAAGTAATAGGGTATTGTAGATAGAAAAACTTAAGGTACTTTGCCATTTGGTAATAAAATGAAGGGCAGAGGATTTAGAAAAGTACATGTACCCAAGCCCACAACAAACCAAAAACATAAATTCGTGTCAGTGTGTCCAGTGGTCACAGTCAAAGACTTTGTACTGCTACAAAAATTGCCAAATAATTTTAATAAAATTGGATTTGAACACAATTTGAAGTTGTCTTTCTTTTTAAGGTGATGAGAATTTCATATAATTCATGGTTTCTTAGATTTAAGTAGACTGCCAAAAGTACTACAAAAGATGCTTTTATGATGTAAGAAGATGAGAGGGCCAAAAAAGGCATGCAAAAGCAGCTTACCCTTTCAGGCTTTACATGTGTTCACTGATGGGCCAGAGATACAAACCTGAGGGCCTCTGGCCCCAGTGCGGCTCGTAGACACAATCGGTTTTGCCTGGAAATTGTTTGTGGGTCTATATGTGTTAGATGTGAATTGGTTTTCAACATTTAAAAGCTGGAGATTTCATAGAAGGTATAGATTGCTAGCTTCTTGAAAATTTGAAGCATCTGGCAACATTGGACCTGTGTTGTGCTTTCATTGACATCCATTAGCTAGGCTGGGGTCTGCGCTTAGATGGGGCCACCCCTGCAATCTGCAGCAGCCTCAACTTGCCTGTTTCCCTTATTTCTGTTTTCCTGCAAGCCTATATATGCATTTGAGTTCGCTGCCCCTATTTTAGGCAATTTTCTTAGGAATATCTGTCATAATCTTGGAGTTGATCATCTCTGGAAACTTAGAAGGTAAAGTCCTTTGAAGATAGTTTCTATACAGGTCATTGATTATGTTGTTTACACCACTTTGTATAATTATTTACATCTTCCTCATTTTGAGAAGGATATCAACATTTATTGAGTGCTTACTATACACGAGGCATTGTTATAAGTTGTTTAGATGTACTAACAAACTTAATTCCATACAACTTAAGAATTAGTAAAGTTTTTCTCCTGGTGCTATAATACATTACCACAAATGTAGTTGCTTAAAACAACATAAATTTATTTCCTTCAGCTCTGTAGGTCAGAAGTCTGACAGTTTCACAGCACTAAAATCACCATGTCAGAGGGCTGCATTCCTTTCTGTAGGTTCTGGGTAGGATCTGTTTTCTTGTGGTTTTTTTCCAGCTTCTAGGGACTGCCAGCATTCCTTGGCTCAGGATCCCCTTCCTCCATCTTCAAAGCCGGCAGTGGCAGGTTTAGTCCTATGTCTCAGCACTCTGACCTACTCTCTGCTTCCCTTTTCTACTTTGAGGGACTCAGGTGATAACATCTCCATCTCTAGGTTATACCCTTAATCATATCTGTGAAGTCTCTTTTGCCCTGTAAGGTAATATATTCATAGGTTCTGAGGATTAGGATGTGGATGTCTTTGGGGATGATTCTCCCTACCACAGTCCACCATTTTGCCCCCAAAGAGCCATGTCCATCCCACATGCAAACTAGATTCACTCCAACCCAAGACCCCCCAAGTCTCATCCCATCACAATGTCAACTGAAAGTCCAAAAATCTGAATCTCGTCATCTCAAAAGTTCCAAATATCATTTAAATTAGGTGTGGGTAAAGGTCTATTATAATTCATTCCAGGACACAGTTCTCCTCCATATTTGGACCTATTAAGCATGGTTTAGAAACTTGCCAAAAGTTATCCAGCCAAGATATTACAGAGCTAAGAATTTGATCCCAAGCAACCTTCCTTTAAAAGTCATTCTCTTTAGGGTCGGCCCCATGGCTTAGCGGTTAAGTGCGCGCGCTCCACGGCTGGCGGCCCGGGCCCGGATCCCGGGCGCGCACCGACACACTGCTTGTCTGGCCATGCTGAGGCCGCATCCCACATACAACAACTAGAAGGATGTGCAGCTATGACATACAACTATCTACTGGGGCTTTGGGGGAAAATAAATAAATAAAATTAAAAAAAAAAAAGTTCTCTATACTCAGGCCTTTCAGGTTAAGAGAAACCTGGGCCATTTCCAGTTTTTGTGTTTCCTATTATATTTTTTTAAAATTATTGCATACTTTCGTCATATATACAGTATATTTAAATGTTTATTAAATAGCACTTTTAACACACAAATGGGGTAATACCCTATGTGTGACGAGTAGAGGTCAAATCTAAATTGGAGGTTACTTATGAATGTGAGGCTCAACCTAAGTGGCCACTCTGGCCGTCCTGCCCACCCTGACCTATGTGATTGGCCCCGTTCTCTACTACCCATGACAATGTTCAGGAAGGAGCGACATCCTTCTCCTCGAGGAGCTCAACGTTCACTTGAGTGGATGACGTGTTTGCACACGTGGCAAGGCAGTGAACAAATGGATTATGTAGGAGGGAGAAGAAACATTGAGGCTGGAATTGTGCTGGTTGCTAAAAGATGAATAGGAGGTAAAAGAAGGGGAGGTAAGGGCCTGAGTCTAGAAGAGGAGGAGGAACGAGCCCTGTGTGTGAGGAGAGAGTGAAAGGCAGGGCTGGCGGTGGGCCCGGGCACCACCTTAGCACACAGTCCCTCCCATCTCACCTGCAGCTGGAGCGTCTGCGCTTGCTGTTCCCCCAGCCTGAAATGCCCCTGTCCAAGCGCTTTACATGGCTGGCCCTTCAGATGTCAGCTCAAATGCCATCTCCCCAGAAAGGAATTCCCCAACCACCTAATCTAAAAGCGAAATCTCCAGGCGCTTTCTATTCAGTTTCACCAAAACACTTTGGTTATCTGAAAAGCGTCATTTCCTTTCTCCTTTATCATCTAAATCCTACCAATAGAATGCAAGGCCCATAAGCATAGAGACATGGTTTCATTCACTGCCGTATCCTGAGCACGAAACTGTACCTGACACCTAGGAGGTACTCAATAAATAGTTATGAAATGAATGGAAAAAACCCTGAATCTCCTTACCTAATAATTTTGTATTAACATACCCTGATGCTATGGTCTTTTCTATGTGCCACCAAATCAGGTGTGCATGTTATTTTTATCAAGTATGGAAATTCTAAGAATCATTTTTTTAAGCCACAGACTTCTTTCGTGAGGCCCGTGTCAGGGGCTTATCTTGTGGGGTGAGTTCATTAATCATGTACTTAAACAAACTAGCTGGTGAATGAAGGGCTTTTACGTGTGTTTCGTGGGAGAAGACAGCGTTATTTTTCCCATTTAGCAAATGTGCTGAGCCTTTTTTTTTTCCGACTCACAGCACACTTTGAAAAATCTCTGAATGCTAAAGAACTCTCCAGAAAGGCTAGCACACAACAAATTTGCATACAATTTCAGAAAAGATTTCTGGACTTTCTGAAGGTCCCTAAGGGCCCCAGTTAAAGAACTCTGCCCTATGTGAGCAGAGTAGGCAGATTTTCGGGACCCATCTTCCTGGTCTTAACAGGCCTTCTAGCAAGTAAACTGCATAGGCTTTAAGTCAGTACAATAAAAATCCACGCTGTAGTGTGAAGCAGCCATGCAGGCCACCTTCTCCTGTGTCAAAATGACCTTGCAACCCCACACCTCATGACTGAAGACACCAGCTGGACAGATCCACAACAGGAAAAGATAAAGGGGTACCTCGCCCTCATGTTTCCCAGCTGCATTTCTTAGAGCTTGAGGGACTACTTAACTACCCTGGTCCTTGCCTCCCTCCACACATAGAAAACGTCAGCACCTTTGAACTTGTTTCATATGTAACCAAAGAATTCTTGTTTATGTTACCTTCAATGTATAAGCTGGAGAAAAGCCCAGATGTACTCCATCTCTTTTTTTGAAATCTAGTTGTAGGGTTTTTTTTCTTTTCCTCTTCCTTGCATGTACGTGTTTTGTGAAAGAGATATAAGCTGCACTTAAACTCACATACCTCGGAGCAGTTCCATCAGAGCGCTCTGTGGAACTGTTCTCCCAGAGTTCGAACTCCTCACTCTGATTATGGAATAAATTCCTTCACTAGTATCACCTAGACTCTTTATGTTAGTCGACATGAGCTATGGCGTGTGGGAAACTGTGGCTACTTCACTTCATTTTCTGCGATAGGAGGGCACTGGCAAGCTGGGCTACTAGTTAACCTTTTAAACGTAACAGTGGGGTTTCTAGGAAATACTAGCAGCTGGTGCTGCCTTATCCAGGCACGTCCACACACATTTCACAAGATCTGTTCTCTCTGCTTCTAAAAACATGAAAGACACTTCAGACTTTCACAACTTTATTTATCCAGTTGGTGGATGTTTTCTTTAAAAAGTGTACGTGGGTAGTGAAATAAGCCCAAACACAGAAGGACAAATATTGTATGATTCCACTTATACCAAGTACCTAGAACAGGCCAATCCATAGTGACAGAAAGTAGACTAGAGGCTACCTTACCAGGGGCTGAGGGGAGGGAGAATGGGGGTTGTTGTTTAATGGGTACAGAGTTCCTGTGGAGAAGGATGAAAATGATTTGGGTATAGGTAGTGGTGACGGGTCCACAGCATTGTGAATGTATTTGATGCCACGGAATTGTACGCTTACGAATGGTTACAATGATAAGTACTATGTTATGTATATTTTCCCACAATAAAAAAGTTATTTCTAAAAAAAAAAAAAAGTGCATGTGGGGGGGAAAATGTGTACGTGTGTGTGTGTGTGTGTTGGAATAGGTAAGACATACTGTCATAGAAAATGCAAACGATATGAAAGGCATATGGTGAGAAGTATCCTTTCCATTCCCATCCCAGGCTCTCAGTCTCCCTCTCTAAAGGTAACCTATATTACCACTTTCTTTTTTCCTTATCTATTTTTCTCAGTTTTTATACAGAAGGTACCATTCTAAAGTTCATGTTGTGCACTTATAAGGAGATCTTTCCATATCAGAATACAAACCATTCATTCATTTATTTGTACTGCTGACTTCATGGTATTTCATCGTATGAACGTACCATAGGTTAGTTCACCAGTCCTCTATTGATGGACTTGGATGTGGTTTCCAACCTTTTACAATTACAAACAATTCTGCGTTGAATAACCAGGTACATCATGTCATTTCACAAATATCAATTGACATATTTCTTTATTACAAAAAAGCCAAGATAACTCAGCCCCAGGAAATGAGGTAACAGCAGAAGGTCATGGCAAGCTGCCCTGGCTGAAGAGTACCCCTTCAGTGCAGAACCTGTCACCTGATGTCATCCCTCTTCAATTCAGCCC